GGTTAAGCAATGACTTGATCATTGTCCAGAGGAACCACAAAGGGAACAGGAATTTGGCAGCAGAGGATTCTCCCCTATGACAAAGGTATAATCACATCTGCGGGCTAGAGGTCAAAGCTGAGCAGCTTCAGATTAGAATAAGTTGATTATTTTTACTATTAACGAGTGAAATGTCTTGGTAACTTAACCAGAAGCTTCACAACTGTATTGTAGGTTTTCCTGGGAAATGAGATATGGTCAAGGTCAAGCAGAAAACCACTTACAAAATCTTATGGCCTTCATTATGAGACACCAGATGATCCCAACAGCTCCCTTCTGACCTGACTGCAAGTTATAAGGTCTCATTAAAAACTAAGCCAAACATATGCATTTAAAGCCCCAACTAACAACTGCCATAATATACATAACCTGAATAATCCCCCTATACTGGGAATTCAAATCATGCTTCTGGTTAGAACCACCACCACAGAGCAACACTCCTACTAAACAGACTGGGAAGCATAATTAACTTACACTGATTTTACATTCAGCTTTACTCAGTCAAGGGGACTAGAAGCTTTCCAAGCTAAACTGGAGCAGAAGACGTCAGCCTTGTGAAGAGGACACAGAGGTATCACATGATTCCTTACAACGCCTTGTAGGCACCTGGCATTACACTGCAAGGACATAACCGTCTCAAAGGTACTCCAGAGAAGCTGGTTCCAGATGGAGCCAGAGCTGGGAGTAGTAATTATTACTCATCTCTATCATTTAAACACTTGAGAGCAAGAGATTCTCGCTTGCATCTTTCCAGGGTTACAACTGCAGTAAGGAGCCAGACTGCTGGAACCTGTGGTAGTTCACACTGTTTCTTAGGAGATACATCCAAATCAGTCCTGGATGACACCCAGACTGCAGGTTCCCTGTACGGAGGACTGCAAGATCTGCAGCGTTTGCACTTTCACAGTGTCTGCTGTGTCAAATACACTTTGGTTTAAGGGTAAAAGAGATTTGTCCAAGTGCCAAAGATGCGCAACAACGAAACAGAGAAGTCCAGCTTCATTTTGACTTCTTGTATGCCCTTATTGGGCACGAGGTACAAACACAAGGCAAGGCACAGTGTGTCTATTCTCTTTGCAACAGACTTCAAGCAGACACAAAACGTGTCTGAAGTTTTAAAGCAAATCATGACTTAATAAAGATTCCACAACAGGAATGCAACTGCTCTTGCAGGTCACAAAATGCAGGGCCTCCTGCAAGGTGTAACGTCTCTGTAGGGCCCAAACGCAATGAACAGGGAATCACTTTTACTCACTCGCCAGCCTGACAACAAACTACCACAGCATGCTTTGAAACCCCTCTTTAAGAGTCTTACCATGGAAGAGTGTCATTTTCACAGCACTGACAAGCCCTCACAGAACCTGGCCCTGCCTGAGCCATACCAAGGGCTCCTGACTGCCTCAGGAGACAGCAGCAATGCTGCCTTCCAGCCTCCCACACAGCAGAGAGCTCGTCCTGTCAGTCAAACCTGCACTCACTCACAGAGCCCCTCTACTTCCCTGCCTCCACTTCATTTCTGCCTATTTTACTGAACTAATCAGCTCTCTCTTGTGTCCGGGATCACCCATGCTTTAGAGAGCTCCTGATCCCCCTAACAAGCCTGTCCACTCTTCCCAAGCTCTAATATTTCCCCTTTTCCTTGAACAGACTGGTTTGGATGCAGTTTAACCATTCCAAGCAGAAGCCCCCCATGGGCACCCACAGGCAAGCAGACCTCCCACTTAATTTTCCTGCCACACTGCAGCAGGGAGACCTGCTCCTTCAAAAGGCTGGGGTGATGTCTGCATGCTGCTGGCACAGGTGCAGGGGATCAAGTGAGCAGCAGGCTGGGAGATCTTTGGCAGAGGTCTGTGGTCCATATTTGCCATGTCTGCATCACAAACACAGGCTTGTGGCTGCACTGAGACTGAGAAACAAACCCTGGCTACTACAATTCACAAGCTCTATTTCCTTAAACACACACACAAGTGCACAGATGGCTTTCCAAAACTGGTATGACCCCATTGTAGATGATTAGAAGAAGGAAGCAGAGAAGGCACAGGCAACAACCACAATAAGGGAGCCAGAACAATTACAGAGTGCATGTCATGCTCTTCAGGAATGAGGAAATCAAAACAGCCTCCTGAAGAGTCACCTAAGAGCTGAAACCACTGCAAACAAAGGAGAAACGAGCCAGTAGGAGAGACAGAAAGACCAGACTGAAAAGGAATGTTAGGAAATGGCAATATTCCTATTCATGGGTCATGCCACATCTCTGGGAAGTGGGAAGAGAGTGGGAGAAAGAAAATCTTCTCACCTGCAGGTTAACTAGAGAGGCCAATCCACCCCAAAGAATCCCATCAGGCTTCCACTGGGATTAACCAGCCCATCCAGTGGGGCCAACCTCTAGGAGAGCATCCTCACAGAGCACACTGCAGACTGCTGTGCTTCGGATGATCACGGAGAAGGGAGTGCAAAGGCACAAAAGGAGGGCTGCGGAGGGGCAGGAGGAGAGGGCAGCCCAGCCTGGCTGAGAGGAAGCCCAGCTGAATGGGGAAAGGAAAGCGGGATGTGAATGAGCATGAGGTGATGAATGGTGGGGAGGGCATGGCAGTTTTACACAGGGCAGAGAGCAAAGGCAGACTGAATGGGTAAGGCTGAAAGATGCCGCTTGAATGGAGGGGGAGAGAGGGAGGAGAAATTAGACAGAGAGAGGGAGCTGAGCAGCACAAAGTGAAATAGTGCAGGCAGAATAGCTTCCCACATGGACTTGACAAGGCCTTAGAGAGAAAGACAAGTAACACAGTGTGAACTTTAATCCAGGAGCAGAAAAGCTGCCTGAAGCAGACAGTGTTACCATCATCTGCCCCTGTATAATCCCTCCACTATCAGGCACCTTCTTTGCTCCCAGCCAGCAAATTCTCATGAACCCAGAGCAAATCCAACAGCAGCCACCAAAGGCCAGATCACCCCAGCAAAGGGAGTTGTAGCAAAACTGAGCTAGTGACATGGAAACACCAAGATAATTGCAAGCAGCAGCCCAGGAGATGCAAGTGTAACACTGCCCTAAAGATGGGACAAGATACAATGGGTATGTATGACAGAGAAATAGTGGTTATTATTAGTGTTATTTGCAAGCCTTTCCTCCCATTTCTAAAGACAGGATGAACTTTTTACAAAACAAATCTTTTCCAAGCAAAAACGTGGAGATTTCAGTCATGCCAAGACTTTCTTGACAGTTTGCCTTAGTTTTGAACATTGATGATTTAGAAGAAGTTCCCTCAGATTCTACAAGGCCAAAACACAGGACATTACTGTTTTCAAAATGCTTCAGTAGATAATTAACATTTATGTTCATATTCAGATGGTTCAGCTCAAGTCAAATATTTTGCTCAAGAAGAAACAAAAAGCATTTTTCCTAGTCTTTGGGGAACTGCAAACAAAACCCTACATGTCATTATTCACCCACCTCCACCCTGTTCACAGCTGGGGTACATAAAGCATTTAGAAAGGACACATCATACTACTCAGTGACAGAGCTGAAAACTGAATACTCTCCCATCCCTTTTAGATGTGCAGGTTTAGACAGGCCAAGGTATCCGTTATCTTCATAGATCCATCAGTCACCCCCAACAGGATCCTGTGCCAATCCTATTTTCCCAACTGCAAAGCAAAAGGTCCAGTGACTCATTCCAAAAGGGGTAATGTAAGGCCTTAAATCATAGCCTTTTAGTTCATATTTGTCAGGAACAACCATTTAAAAGCTAATTGTGTCTGGAATCATGTTTTGCTTGCTCATAAATAGACCCCACAGTCATACAGGCTAAAATGAGAGGTCATAGAAAGCCAGTAGAAGGTAGGACACAACCCTCAAAAACAAACACCATGGAAAGGAAAATAAATTTAAATAGAAGACTTGATGCTACTTTCCCTTTTCATCAGGGAAGTCAAATATATCAGCTGGCTTCTAAAGTGTTGCTAGAGGAGCTACGAGGGGCTCATCTGTACCTCAGCCTGAGACTGTTCTGCTCCCTTGATTTTGGATGTTTCTTCCACAAGCAAACACAACAAATCAATGCAGTTAATTTCAGGCAAAAAAAAACGAGTGTCCTGGAGTCAGAGCACAGGCAGCAAATCATGTGAGAAAAGACATGAGGATTTCTCCCCTTTACTCCTCCCCCCTCAGTAGCAAAGGAATTCCTGAGAAATCTGGGCCAGATCATCAATCCCCCTCAGAGAGGTCCAAAAATATAGGGCAGGGATTTGGGATCAGGTCATTAGCAATCAGGTTTCTAGCACACAGTGCTTTTTTAAATGATAATTTGTTCTCTTTATGATTCACAGTGGTACCACCTCATAGAGAGCCCCACTTTAGGAGCTAGGAGAGGCAAAATAATTCACCCAAGAATGCAAGGGGCCTAAAATGCTGCTGTAGTTGAGATGAGCTGCCTGTGATCCAGCCACCACCATATTGCCACCTAATAACTTACTAGTGAAAACTGTTAATTGCCAAATATTAGAGTGGAGATTTTTAATCAGGGTTTAAGACAAAACAAAGGTCAAAGCACCTCCAAGAAGTACACCAAGCTTGGTGATACCCACAAACAAGAAAAGATGTCCAAGTGTGAGAGTCTTTCCTAGAAGCAGCAGTGAGCTGAAGAGATGGATGTGCCTTTGTGCAGACATGCACAGGCACACAGCAGCAGCAAAGGGATCGTAAGGGTCTACCAGAGCAGACAAGCTTTAACGTCGCAATTTCCCAGGCCAGTTGAGCCCATGAGGAACCATTACTGCAAAGAGAATACTGTCTTGCTTTTCCATCCGCCTGGCACGAGCAGATGATGTTACATATGGCACTGAGGGGAAGGGAAATAGGGTATGAATAATTTTCAATCCAGTGAAAGGAGTGCAAGCTCTGCAGCTGCTGCAGGGTGAGCACACCCTAACAACATCAGCTATTGCTTTGGGTCAAGAGATCATACCATTTCAGCCTGCTTCCTGACTTGTGCTTCATTCCAGCTGCTTTTCTCTGCCTTTAGTGCCTGCCTGCAGGAACAGCTATCTCTCTGGAAGAAATTAAAACACAGGGAGAAGTTACATGTGCCTGATGAAAGTGACAACACAAGGCAGGTCAATGCTTAGTCTAAAAGCATTCAAGCAGGGTCAACACCTGCTAAAAATAAAGACATAAATGCACAGATACACACAATACAGGAAAAGGATTTACTCTGATGGGACAGCAGGAGCTCAGTCATGCTTGGGCTTTCTTGAACCTGCATCCCTAGGAAACTGGCAGCTCTTACAACTGAATCAGACAGACTTGTGCTGCCAATGCTGGAAGCTGACAAGCCATCCCCCTTCCAGGACAGGCTCCTGGAGCACCCATACTGTTAGGAACCAAAACTGTCACATCCCACATCCCACACCCAGCCTGGGAACTCTCATTCTTTCTTGCTCCCCAAATCTATGTGTCCCCTATCAGGCAAACCCACTGCCACAGGCTGCTCAATCTTCTTATGCAAATGAACTCAGGGTAATTGGGACAGTTACAATGAGTCCCTGACAATGTTTGCTTTTGTGCACACCAGTAGTAAATATAGACTGAGCTGCTTACTAAGGATGGGGGGTGAGGGGAGAGCTGCACTAAGGGACAGCAGGAAGTAAGCATTTTTTAAATGCAAGAACGGTCTCAGAGGTGTGGAGCTGACGGGCAAAGGAGGAGCCAGATGCTACAAACATAAGTCTCAAAAACATTCATGGAAGCACAGCCATGAGCACATCTGTGGAGCTGTCCGCCTGCATTACAACCTTCATTCCAGGGACAGAAAACTTCCACAGCATTCATCCAGCTAAGGGTATCAGCTCACAGGATTCAGCCACCAGAGCAAAGACTGGACAGGGCACAAATACCCCACCCAGAGCCATTGGTGACAGTGTCCAGGCTGCCAGCATGCAGTGGCTGGCTCTGGCTCAGTCGCTCCTGCACTGACAGCTCTGCTTCTTGGTTATCTCAGCACGCTTCAGCCCATGAACCTCATAGATATGCTCTACTTTTGTTGTAGCCCATGCAGCAGCCGTGGAAGAAACCTAAACAAAAAGCAACGGCCCCCTGAAATCCTGTCATGCAAACAAGACTCTTCCCACCCATGGCCACAGGGACTGAATGGAGAGGGACCATCACCCCCCACCCAGCCCTGCCTGGTGGTCTTTTTGTCTCGTGACCTTCCCCACACAAACACAACCCCACAACAATCAGACAGGAGACACAATGCACCAGCGCCGGCTTTCCCAGCCCTTCAAGGCAAGCTGGGGAGGGAAGGGGGGAGAGCTGGGGGGAGCTGAAAGGAGCTGGGGGTGATGAACAGATAGGATGGGCAAGGAAATACCAAGCAGCATTTTAATTTTGACTTTTACAGTCCCATAAGCCAGGATAAAAATAAGTTTTAATGAAAGAAACAAAAGAAATGTTATCTCAAATGGCTTAAAGGGACATGGGAATACCAGCCACTGGGATTCTCATACCTAAATAAATAAATAAAGCCAACAATGCTTCTAAACCCTGCGGACATCTTTTAACATCCCCTCCAAGAGGCCCCCAAAACTGAGCCCTTTGGTGCAAACTCTGCTGACTTTACTGGGCTATCTTTGAGACTTAAAGTCTGAGATGGATTAAATATAAAGGTTTTCCTTCAGTCTGAGAGAACAGCTGTAGCTGAAGCATCACCACACATGGAAGAGTGTGCTATAGATTCAAAGCACAGCAAGTTTCTGCCAGTCTGTGATAACTATGGAACAAGAGAGCCATGACCTGGGCTACTGACAGCAAGGAATAAATGTGCCTCCAGGCCCGAGACTGTCCTCACAAGCTAACAGATGCCTTTTGGTTACTGCAGGACACATCTCCTTTGGGAAAGAGCAACGAGGGTCCCCCAGGACTTAGTTGCAAATCAGCAGACCAACAAAGCAAGGGGAAGCTCCTACCTTCTGAAATGCCAAGGGATTCTTCCCTGCTCCCTATGCATGTACAGGAAAGAATACACACTCCACAAGAAAGCAACCCAAATAAAGCAAAAAGAAATACCACCTCTCAGGACCTGGCTTCAGTGAGCTTACCAGGGCCCTCAGCTATGTTTCAGGGCACTGGAAATATATACTAAGTACCTTTACAAGGAAGGAGGCCGTGCTTTTGCCAAAATCTAAGATCTGAATGCCATAACATCCTGGCAGCTGAAGCAGTAGCAGAAAGCAGAGCTAGGGGAAAGCATTTGTGTGATTTACAGACACATTAGCCACCTAGGGAGCATGATACAGCAAGAAACAACATCTCAACTTCTGCTGCTAGCACCCCCCTAATGCTATTCTCATCATCCACATCCTCCATTAACACACTGTGACTGCACAGTGGAAAGCACCTGAGGAGCCAGGGATGAAACCACCTCTGTGGGATGATGCAGCTGATGGAGAGACAGAAAGTCTTGACAAAGGCCTTGTGCAGCAGCTGGGTGCAGGAGGCCTCTCCCAACCCCAGCATGCAGTGCACCAGGCCACATCTGGCCAGCAGGTCCCAGTGAGGGGGCATGGATGTGCAACTGACCCTTGTCTATGTCCTGACATAAACTGGAGTAACTGGAAGAGCAGCAGCACTGAGCCCACACAAAACTGGCAAACTTCCCGCGACAAGGATGCTGTCTCCTGTCAATCCAATCCAGTCTTAATCCTCTGTAGAAAGATCCCATCAGCACCGTGCTAAGAGGCAATCTTTCAACCAGATGTTAACAATAGTGAAGATGACAGAGAGACAGATGGAGAACAGATAGAACCAGGCTCTGTTCATCACGGAGTGACTTAGAGGAACAGGACAGGAGATACTACACAGGCAAGATGTTTAGCCTTGCTCAGCCTTGCAGCAAGGTGGTACACATAAGTATGCATGGGACAATGAATCTATTGCACCTGCAGGCAGCTGTAAGCCAGTGAGTGTCTCACTGCAAAGGAAGTAGCTGTGGCCAAGCTGTGGAGCTGCTTTGAGCTCTGCAGGATTTCTGTCCTATTTAGGATAGGCACAAACTTGCTGCTGGCTTGAGGATTTGCCCCCTGAGACTGGATATTTCCCCAGCATGGAGAGGAAAGCAGAGTCTTGCCTCAACTCATTCCACAAAGATTTCAGCAGAATTCCTCTTCAGAAGAGAGATTACTCAGGCAACAGCAGGATCTTCAGCACAGTTATCATGTGAGCTAGCAAAATAACTGTGCGACTGGAAGCTGGCCATCAGTCTCTTCACCCGTCAACCGAGGGAGGGAACACAGTCAAAAAGCAAGTGTCCAACTCCCATGGCCTCTTAATATTTCTATACTAGAAAACCTCACTGCATAGATAAATGTTTGTTGTATCAAGTAGGGAAGTAAAACAGACTGGGTTGCTTAGCTGAGATCAATTCCTGTCCAATTACATAAAATAATTAATTTTATTTTACATTAGTCTTTATTATGGCAATGAAAATTATATGGCCATTCTAACTGATTGGTGTTGCTCTTCCCAGGCCTTGTGGACCTGATCTCAAACAAGCTGAAGTGAGAATCCCTCCTACACCAAGGAAACAGGACAGTCCGGATAACTTCAACCTGTGGTGAGGGGCTGAAGAGGAAAGGGGGAATTTCTTGAGGTCTTTTTCAGCCCTACGCAACTTCCCATTCCTTCACCCCTGAGCCACATGAGCTGCGGTGCGCAGAGCTGTGTGCTGCACTGAGCCCAAGCAAAGAACCCCAGAGCTCTCTGATAGGGAGCTGGTGGTTGCAGTGGCCTGGACAAAGCATTCACAGAGCAATGCTGCCTTCCACAGCCCCAGAGAGTGACTGATACCCAAAGATGCCAAATACCTTCAGCTGCCACTGAATTCACTGCCATGAGATTTCCAAGAACCCTGGACATTATTTGAGACCAAGCCTCCAGAAGAAAAGCAGCTACTTTGCTTGAATACTTTGCCGGATGCCTTTCAAACAAAGAAAGAAAACAAAATAAACCACAGAAACCTCAAGGAAAAAGATCACTTGAGCCTTGATATTCCTTTCTAGTAGGCACAACTTTATGGTGTGTATCACAATATTCTCCCTGCATATTTGTTAGTGCCTCTTCATCCAGGCTTGCATAAGTGATGAAGAGCTGAGGTACTTGTCTCACAGAGCTAAAGGGAAAAGCAAGAAATGTTCTCATAGAGCCGCCTCTGAGTATCTGAGGGATCATCACAACCTCATGTGCTTGAAAACATGACATTTACAACACAAATGTTCTCCCATGGAAGGGGTGCACGTTTTGTGAGCTTCCTTTAATAAAACTCTCAGCAAAAGAACTGGAATATGCCCATGTCTTCATGCTTAAAGAAATACCATAAAATTGGGAGAAGTCCTTACCCCTCTGCAATCAGTAATGAAATTAGCCCAAAGGGGCCCAAAGGAAGCAAATGAGGCCTCTTCAGAGGGGCCAGGATTTCATCTCATGTTTAAAACCCCACAGTGGCAGTTCTGTACTCATTTTAATGACCCACCAAATCCTTTTAGTCCTCTACATCCCTCTATGAAAACCTAATAATGAAAAATTGTCTACTAAAACTTGGCTTTTCCTGAAAAATAATATCTGGACAGATCTCCAAAGACAGATATTCCTGTGGACACAGTGAATTTGGGCTGCAATGCTTTGTTTTCAGATATCATTGCAGTTCACATTTTCACAGCTTCCTTGGAATAACATTTGATATGGAAAAAGTGTAAGTGATACTCACAGACAAAAGAGTAGCCAACCCTCTGGAACCACAGGGCCTCGCTATTTGTATTGCTTTTGTAATAAATACAGCCTGAGCCACAGCATTCCAAGTAAGAGATCCTGAGGCAACTTCAACATTCAAGCAAACCATTGCCATGCAATATTAAATGCATTCATTTTTTATGAGCATCAAATTCTACCTATTAACAGATCGGCCATGCTCTGCAGCTACCAATTCACATACCCAGCCTGCAAGCTGCTGAGGGCAAATGGCCACAAGATACAGGAATACATTCCATCTGAAAAAGG